TCTCAGCTCAACGGAACATCAACTCTAAGTGGCAATTTAATGACTGACAGAAAAATCTGTCCTTCATTGTTTGCTGCCAACATACACTCGGGTCGTGCAGCACGAAACCATTCTTAGAGTTCAGTGAAAGTGCTTCTATGAGCCGCATTAACAGCCCCCGGACGCTGAGCTGGTCCTTCTTGGATATTTACCATTGCTCCACATCCACCCGAGTACACGCATTCTTGTGCTTGGTTTCAGTTGGGAGCCAGTACAGCCAGTACATCCAGTGTGCTGGGTTTGTGTGTCAGGGGGTTTGGTAGCAGGGGAGGGAAACATATTTAAGAGGAGAAAACAAAGAGACCTCCAGAAGGAGAGAGGAGTGGGATGTGAGACACCCAGGCAGACCCCCAGGTCAGTGTGGAAAGGCGGGAGGAGGTGCCCGGAGCAGAGTTTCCCCGGCAGCCCGTGGGGAGGGTGCAGGCTGTGCCCTGCCCCCATGGAGGGTCACGGGGGGCAGAGACCCCGCTGCAGCCCAGGGAGGACCCCACACCAGAGCAGAGGGATGCACACGAAGAAGCCCCTGACTCCGTGGGAAGCTGGCACTGGATCAGGCTGCTCCTGAAGGAAGAAGCCCCTGACTCCGCAGGAGGCTGGCACTAGATCAGGCTGCTCGTGAAGGAGTGCACCCATGGAAGGGGTCTGTTTTGCCTGTGACCATAACTGGTGAGTGACCCCTCCCTGTCCTTGCCTTGACCCACCAGCCTCTCCTAGTTCTTCCTCCCATCCCACTGGGGAGAGGAGTGAGTGAGTGGGTGCGTGGTGCTCAGTTGCCATTTGGACTGAACCACAACAGGCTATTACAATTTTTAAATTCAGGGTGGAAATACAGAAAGGTAGGGATTTCTGGTTGTTTTCTTTTGTGATTTTTTTTGGGTTTGGTGGTGGGTTTTTTTTCCCCAAAAATGCTTCTATTTAGCATGTTTTCTGTTAAAAAAAAAAAGGTTATGCTTCATCAAGAGCAATATTTGAAAGGTAACCATCACGAAAACATCTGTCCTTGCACAAGCAGGAGTGGGCCAGGTTAAGAGGAGTAGGGAAGAGCAAGTGTTCTAGGAAAGTAGAACATTAACCATTCCCATTGGCATAGCGGAAGAGAACTTCAGCAAGACTCTCGGCACTTTCCACCTTAATAATGCTAATTCATCAAGCAAGAAACGGTAGTGTCTCTTAACGGTTTCTGCAGAGCAAGCAAAAGCATCTGTAAACGGTAAAAATACCGTTAACGAGGAAAAGGACTCCATAGAGGTAAATCCAGTTCTCAAAATATTGGTAGACAAGGAATCAAGTCACATCCCTGTGTTTGAATCTTCTTTAACTCAGCAGAGCAGATGCAGTGATGGGAGTGGGGTTAAGCCTTCAGTACCCCCATTTCAGTGTTTTGCACACCCTTAAAAATTGAGAGCTGAACCAAATATTTAAATTCCTGATAACATTCCCCATCAGATTATAAATATTTTTATGAGGTTAGATCAAGAGCTTAAGCTAATTGGTAAGGGTTCCTTTGAGGTCTTTACATTAGTTACTTCAGGGAAAAACCACCTCGAGGGTAGAGCATACCTTTATGCACAACCTAAATAACAAACCACCGAGTGCTCAGTAATGGGGGGAGGGGCAGGGAGATCAGATGCAGGAATTTCAGAAATCTGTTAATTGCTCCTCACTCTGTCTCAACAAAACAATATTTTCCTACCCCGAATGTTTATTTGAAGTCACTCTCTTAAGTAAACCACACTGAGTGGCAGAGGGAAAACGCAAGTCCAAAGGTTTTTCTTTTTACAGGGTGCGCTGACCCCTGCTCTCATTATGGGCCATAAACATTTACAAGAGTTCGTCACCGGCTTGCCGAGACAACCTATTTTATCTGGTTTCCTAGAGCCACGTATCCATAATCTCCTAGGAACTTTCCACAAGACCGAATCTAGCACCTCCTCCTTCACCCCTTATCCCAGAAGGTTTCCTTGTGTGTTTGTTAAGTAGCTAGATTTTTAATAGATTGAAGAAAACCACAGGACTGTGAAATGTAGTTTATTATGTGAGGAGTAAAATCAGGGCAAACTCACTACAAGAGTAGGAAACGCTAGTGAGCTGAAGGAGTAGAGCTGACATTAATTACTTGACTATTGATTCACCTTAGTAGGATATTATTTCCTGAAAGAAACACTTACCTGTGCTTATCAGTAGTAAACACTTCCCTTACATGTCCCTTTTGTTCTTACACTCCTCTAACACTGGATTTAAAGCCAGCAGTTGTTTCTAAGTACATAAATATCCCCATCACTATGCACTTAAAAACCAAGATGAAATTCTCAAACCTGATTTTTGCTAAGAGAAATGCATTTGGCATGCTAAAAAAACCCCAAAATTAAAAAAAAAATCCTCCATTCTGTAAGGAGGGTTTTAACACATTAGGTTCCCTTTCTCTCCTCTGACACCCGAAGTAATCCTTACCGCCTGCACGCAGCTAAGTTTACCTCAGCTAGGTAGTGTGCACTAGCATCCTGCATGTGGTTCAAGTTGCATTTTCAGCTTGAACAGACAACTACCGTGTGCTAGAAAAAAGAAAATAACCACAAAACCACACAACAAAACCACCACAAAGCTCACAGTACGTATACTCTTAGCATCATGACACACGCAACTGGTGTTTGCCCAGACTATGCACTGGGAAGCTGGGAAACACTCACTGTCCATCCCTACAGGAGGCACAGGCGAGGCTGAGGATGGAGGCACTCTGACCACCTCCTTTACAGAGTCACTGAGCAGAGGGGGTTGGAAGGGACCTCTAGAGATCATCTAGTCCAACCCCCCTGCCAGAGCAGGATCCCCTGGAGTAGATCACACAGGAACAAGTCCAGGCGGCTTTGGAAAGTCTCCAGGGAAGGAGACTCCACCCCCTCTCTGGGCAGCCTGTTCAGTGCTCTGTCACCCTCCGAGCGAAGAAGGGTTTCCTCATGGTCAGGTTGAACCTGCTGTGCTCCAGTTTCTGGCCACTGCCCCTCGTCCTGTCACTGGACACCACTGAGAAGAGCCTGGCCCCATCCTCCTGACACCCCCCCTTTAGATATTGATAAGCATTGATAAGATCCCCCCTCAGCCCCCTCTTCTCCAGGCTGAACAGACCCATCTCCTTCAGCTTTTCCTCACATGGAAGGTGCTCCAGGCCCTTCATCATTGTCGTGGCCCTGCGCTGGCCCCTCTCCAGTAGCTCCTTGTCCCTCTTG